GGAATAACATTGTTTATCATTGTTTGCTATGTGTTATTGTGATGTGTTAAACTAATGAATGCTTCGAAAGTGATTCATATGTTAATGATGACATGAGATATTTATGTTTATGCAATTGTGAAATAATTCAAAATGAGATGAATTATGAGACATGCTTGTATGATTAAGATTTTGAGATGGTCTTAATTGCATATAAGTGTGAAATTGCACATGCAACATTTGTTGTGAAGAGGCAGTGTTTTCTAGTTTCATGGAAGATAATGTCTTGTCCCAAACTTAGAGGATTAGTTTGAAGCTTAGACAATGGGCTTTTTGTTGGTTATCAGTCTTGGAGATGAACCCGGTTTAAATGTAAAAAACATATAAGGATAACAATTGGTACTACATGCATATTGCATTGAGTTGCATTCGAGTCACATGTGTTGATGTGAAATTTGTAATTGGTGTGCATTATGTGATATTGATGTGAATGTTACATTAGTAGTGTTTGTGATTAATTATCTTTGAATCATGAATTGCTGAGCAATGTTGTACGCAAACATGTGAATTCTGTTAGAAAATGTTGAATACATGAACGTATAAAGTGTGATGAATTCAAATGATGTATGTAGGGTATGCATTACTTATTATTATATATTTCTATAAGGATATGAATTCTCACTCTTTTGTTGAAATGATGTTTTGTACAACATCACTATGGTACCAAAGGTAGTGGTGCTTCATGCAAGGATTAGTCGGAGGAGCTAGTTCTTTGTTTATCTGGATTTAGGTAGTGAGTCATGTTCTGGTCATGTAACATGGGTAAACGTTTGAACTGAGTTTATTTTATATTATCGTGTATTGAGATTATGTGATGATTGGTCATTAGTGCCTAATGTTTTAATACATGATTTCTATTATAAGATTTAATTATTAGTATTATCTTGAAAAGAGAATAATTCTGCTGTGATATGCATGTGTTAGTGTATGGAACATGATTTTAAATGCGTGTTATAAGCATGACCAGTGTATTTGTGTTGGTTATGAAATACATGTGACACCCACTTTTGATATGCTTTCTAATTTACTCTAATTATGCCATATTATTGCGCGGGGGTTTAGGGGGTGTTATAGAGAACAGTATGTCTACCACAAATATCAATAGATACAAGGGTGACTTACAGTCACAAAACATACGAGAGACTCTCAAACCTAAACCCTTATTTTTTACAAATTGTTAAGAACTATATTTCCCTAAGTCTTAGTCTTCCTTTTATAAGCCTTCAGCTGTCTATGGGCTTCGAAGTCTCTGGCCGACTATTCCCTGATCCATGTGTTGATTACTGCAGAGAATATCTCCTTAAATCTTGGAACAAATCTTCAAGTTTCCTAAATTAGCTCAACAACCAAATTTAGAAACTTTTAATGATGTTGGATATTTGATTCACTTGTTCCAGATTGCGTCTTCTTGACCTGCAGAAATAACTGAGATATCTCCAAAAGGAATCTCAGAAAATCAAATCAAATCTTATCAAGAAATACCAAACAGCAACGCCTATTGCACCAGACCAAGATATCATGACGTTGTCTTTGACATCTGGTTGAAAAACGCATAACAGCAAGCCTGTTATGACAAACCATGTTTTGCCAAAATTTAGTCAATCATAAAATCATGGTACTAACATAAAGTAGTCTACTTTAATCATGAAACAATTTATACTAAACAACTTAATTAATTAAAAATCACTAAATAAAGTTATGGTGCCAAAATAAAAAGTTATTGTGACATGAAATACCCACAATTCCTCATCCTTTCAAGGATGGACCAAAATTAACCAAAACAAGTTCAGCAACCGAAAATAACTTAAGTTCAACAACAACCAAATTAAGTATAAGAAAAATAAAACATAAAACATCATAAAATATCACCAAAAGGGCAATGAAGCATTATCATCACTCATATCTTCCTCTTCTCCACTAGAATAACTTGTTTCCTCTTTGGTATAATCCTCACATGTTTCCTCCTCTGAATAAAATGGCATGTATCTAGGCCAATCAGAATGTTCCTAGAATTCCTCTTGATTTGGAATCTGATGCTCAACATGTGGCTTCCTAATCTGCAACTGCAACAACTTTCTTCCTAGGGTCTCAATCTTCATAATCCAGACTTATTGATCCAGAAGGTGCTGCAATGTTTTTCTTTTTCTTGCTTGGCTTAGCCATGCAATACCTCTCAATGTACATATCATTAACAACACCATCTATAACCTCATGAGCTACATATAGAATTGAAACACAAGCGCATATGTGCATAACCCCATAATCAAACTCGAAAAAGCCAAAGGACTAGGCATCCTGCTTCCCAATCTGTGCCCTCTTTCAGTAATTGCTTTCATCTCATTTGCAATGATTCAAGCCATATGAACCCGCCTTTCATCTAGAATGTAATATAACAAACATGGAGTATCCGTAGGGATGGAACAGGCGTTACTTCTTGGCCTTATGTTATGACAAACTAGATTTATTAATACCTAAGCTATGAGGTTAAGATTCTTTCTAATGAAACTCTTTAGAGCCCCCAAAGAATTAGTTTAATAGGATTTACCCGACATCACAAGTTTTTCCTTAACAAACCTAAAGTTCCAATCTCCTCTAGCCAACCTCTTTGCATATTCATTGAGCTCACCATCCGGTAAAGTGAGTGGGTTGCTAAGGTAAGAATTGATAGCATCCTTACTGAAAGAAACCTGCTTTGCTCTCACCATAGTCATAAATGAGTATGGTTGATCTTCAACAGGGATAATATTCACATACAATTCTCAGAAAATCTCATAATTCAGGTTGGTTGGAGGAGTAGCCAACTTGTACCACTTTTTTCATCGATGATCGCCAAACAATTCCTAAAGTCACCTTCTAGATTAATGTTGAAAGTTCTCTCCAACCAAATGTTTTGGCTTGGCAGCTCATGGTATCTCTCTTCCTTCTTTGGTCCTAAAAATATGTCCCAGTTGAACCCATCAGCTATGGGTCTGGATGATTGGCCAGTTGTAGTCTTTTGTTTCTTTGAACCAAAGATTCTTTTTGGTCCCATGTGAAGCGACCGACAAAAAACACAGAACCACCACCGAACTTTATTTATCTATAAGGAAGGGGAAATATCGAGAAAATCCAAAGAGGATGGATAAGATGGTCTTGCGACCAAAAGAGAGGGTATGGAAGTCGATTATGAAAGGGGAAGGTATTAGCACCCCTCATATCCATTGTACTCAACGGGATCCATTTTGATTGTTTCCTTCTAAGGGTGTGTCTATCTATAACTATACTTGCTTAATGGGAAAGAAATGGTTTTTATTAGTACTTTCATGAGGGTCTCGCAACCCTTTGCCTATGTATCATGTGAAGGAATCAGAACACCGTAGTTCTTATCAAAAATGTTGGTTTGTTGGTGTTTTTTAGTAGGCGACATTAACGCACTTATTCTAGCAATAGGCACGACCGGTATTGCCGTAGAATAGAGATAACATGCCCTTTTGAGGAGATCTTTGATTTGTTAAGTGTTTTTGTTAAGTGTGGAATGAGTTTGAATAATGATTAAGTGTTTTTGGTTTTTTTATCAAGGAAAGAAATTTTTGTTTTAATTTACAAAAGAAGAAAGAGTCTAATGGGAGACTAAAGAACCTAATTGTTGTCATACGACGCGTGAACTTAAAGTTGAGATGAAGGGAGAAAATCTACCTAAGTTAGCATGCGAAGTTTGGCCTATGGTTGAGTTTGAAAAGGGAACGTCTAACTTAAAATTATCATGAATTGGTAGAAAACCCTAATGTATAATCTGAAATTCAATTTAATCAAAGATTATAATTGAATTAGTATATCCTAAGGGATCATGGCATTGAATCATACAATCAAGATAAAATAAATAACTATCAATATTTTTTATGATATTTTCAAATAAAGAAATTATAAGATCGGAGGAAATTAAAACCCAAATTCTAAAATTATGTATGATTACCAAGTAGAGAAATTCTAATATCAAAAGAAAATTAAAATTCTAATATTATTTATCATATAAAGAAAACTAAAAGAAAATTAAAACCTAACTCTAATATTTTTTGTGTTTTTGTATGGGTATTAAATGAAAATAGGCTAAAAAAAGGGTTAAACTTAGAATTTAAAAAAAAAGGGTAAAGTCAGGGATTGAACTCATGTCCCTTAGGTTATAACTCTCTTGTCTTGCCACTAAACCATGTCTATTTTTCTATTATATTTACAATTTAATTAAAATATAATAAAATAGATTTGAAATTATAAAAAAAAACAGAATAATGGTAAAAGTGTCCCAGGGGTCTCGAACCAAGGACCTCAAGAAGACAAACACACGCTAACCATTGTACCAAGTTGTTCATTTGTTTATTCTATGCTTCAATTAATATAAGAGGATAAGAATTAATTAAGTTGGGCTTAAAGGTAAGCTCAACCAGGATCCTTTAGAGAAGATGAAGGGTTTTGAAACCCTAATCTATAGAGATGGGGTGCCGCTGGTGTATAGGGAAGAGGAGAAGTATATTGGTCAAAATTAAAATTTTTAATTTCCCCATTAAACCAACAATTAAAACAAAAAAATATAATCTCTCTCTCTCTCTCTCTCTCTCTCTCTCTTGTATCACAATGAAACCTCATTCTTCTCTCTTCCAATAATTCATCTTCTCTCTCAATAACCCTTTGTTCATCATCTTCGTTTATTCCCTTGGCCGAACCAAAAACAACAACCTTATCACCTCTCAATTGCTGTCATCCACTCTCTCATTCATTCTGTTTTTTTTCCAATCTGAAACAAACACAATTAAATCACAACTCCCCCTTGATCTCTTGATTTCTCTCTGCTAGCAAAACAAAAATAATACCAACACTTCCATTCGCGATGATTACTCCCTCCCTTCACGCTTCTTCTTATCGCTGTTTCACGGGAACTGCTTAGAATGTAACTGAGGGATTAACGACATCGCTGCTTGCAGAAGGTTATGAAAGGTGAATCCATTGTAGTTGAAAGTTGGAAGCTCTGTCATGGAAATCTGAGCTGCAGATATGATGTTGCTTTTATTTACAATGGAGGATTGACAAATGTTAGAAGGAATCAGGGACATGCGATAAAGGTTGGTGGTTATATAGAAGAGGAGTTTAAGGTATATAAGCGGAAGATTGAAGGGAGTTGCGAGTTGAGGTTAAAGGTTAAAGGGAAGAGAAACAGATGGAAGTGAAGATGGTGGAAATGGTTGTCCGGAGGTTGGAGATTTTTGTGCATTGGGAAGGTCGGATCGCATGTGTATGTGGAGGAGAATAACAGAGGGAATGCGATGAACTAAGGTAAAACTTCTGGTCTCTTTTTATTGTTTTCTTCTTGGATTCTTGTTTGTAACTTTGTTTTCATGGTTTACCAAAAGAAACAATAGAACTTAGTTTTCCAGTTCTATTTTTATGGTAATAGTGACAACACAAATTTGCAACATGGCATAAGCAACACTTTTTAGCATCAATTATATTCTATGCGTATAATCGACAATACAACACATCAAGATGTTAAAGGAAAGCAAGAAGCACTTACATGGTCGGAGCCAGTCCGACGGTTTACCGATTCTGACGAATATAAGAAAATAACACCAGAGATGAGGTAATAATGCTTCTTTTCCTTCTTTTTAATTCTTGAAATTATGGAGATTTTTGTTGCTGGAAAAACTGTTAAAGAATTTTTGAGTTTCTAATAAGTAATTTGAGAAGAGGTTTTGGAATGAATTTTGTGTGGTTTTTTTGTCTGATTTTTCTTTTTTTTTTGTGAGTGATTTGAGGTTGAATTTATAGGTGAGAAAGATGAGATTTGGGGGGAAAAGTTGATGGTATTTAAACTGTTTTAGAATATTGTTTCAATGCCTTCTTGATGTAGTTTATTTTTCCTATTTTGATGTATATATTTAGACTGGTGTTTATGCAGGTTTAGTACTAATACATAGCAGGTTTTTGGCCTTATTTGCAGGTCATTTTGGACAGTTTGGTTTGGCTTGTTTTTCCATGTTTCTTGGGATAATTTTTGACATTGTTTTGGACTATTTTGCAGATGATGCAGGGCTGCATAGTACTGCTTTGAAAGTAGGGTATTTGGGCTGGTCTTGAAGGGTTTTGGGGAAGGTTTATGCAACAACAACAAAGTGGACAACAGGGCTGGATTCTTGGACTGGTTTTGAGCGGCTAATTGATGGACTATTTTAGACAGATTTTGGTGAAGAGTTGAGATGAATTGTCAATTAGGTTTAGGATTCCGTGTAAATGTATTTGAATACAATGTGATGTAATGTAATTGGATAAAATTTGTAACAATTTTTCTTGGATAAACTTTGAACCTTTTTAGATCATGCAGCAAGTCATAAGAATTGTAACATGGCATCTTTTTAAAGTCTCAAGTGTAAATTAATGTTCACTTACTGTAACAGAACAGGAGCTTCAATGAAATTTAAAGTGGAAGTGTAATTCAATTATATATGTTCACTTCTAGTTTGTGAAAAGCTTGTATTAAATTTACCATGTAATCTTGTAACATGTCCATGATTGGAATAATGGTGTAAGGAACAGACTTGATTCTTGTACTTCAAATATTGCTAATAACTTGAATTGATCCTTAAATTTGAAATGATGGTGAATTGAATAATATATGGTTCAAAATTAACCACATGAATGGAGCTTAAACATGAAAATGGACATTTCTTGAGTGAATCTTCAAATTGTTTCCAATGGAAACTTAAAGCAACTTAAGATCTTTGGTCAAAAATCTTCTTTAATCCAATAATTGACAATGTTCAAACACAAGTGACTTGAAATGTAACAATTAAATCAAAGAATCCTTGAACTAGATATATTGCTCAAAGAATGATCTCATCATGAGAATCAAGAACTTTAGAAAACATTTATGGAAAAAATTGAAACCTAGAAGTTAAGATCATTCTAAGTCACAAAATGACCCATAACATTTTCACCAACTTTCATGATCTTTTATGCACAATTAACTCTCGATCATTGAAGAGAACTTATAGAAGACATCACCCATGACGATGCGCAAAAATAATCTTCTCAAAATGTCGAGGATCGAAGAAGTTATAATCATTGGAAATTAGGCACAACTATTTTAGAATTAGGTCAAATTCCACAGGATGACCTCTAAAGTATTCGGACTTCTGATGATCCTCTGCACATAATTAGATCTTGACTAGTAAAGAGGAGTTGGAGATAAATTCAAGGAGAGTTATAAGAAAAAGTGAACCATTAAAAAATATTGAATAATGAAGAAGTTATGATTGTTTGAACTTGATCTTGAAAAAAGTTTACTTTTGGTCGAAGTGCTTTGAATTGACTTGCAAACTTGATCTTTCCTCGCATTCCTAAACATATTGATGCACATATGGACTGGTGATGATGAAATCTTGACTACACTTTTGGTTAAAGGAAATGATTTGATGAAGTAGCCTTTGAGAATCAATGATTAGCCATACTGAACACTTGAGGGATTCAAACCCTAGATGGGGCATGATGCTAAAAAAAACTGATTTTTAATCACACATAGGGAAATAAAACCTAATCCAAGATCTTGATGAATTTAAATGATAAATGGCCTTGTACATGGATGAATAAGAAACTCATGACAACCATACTTAAAAACCTGATTCCATTGTCCACTGCCGGAGGAGGAACCAAGGAAATCAACTATAGAATGTACAATCCTCAAACCAAAATTAAGCCTTAGTTAGCATAATCATTGATGCTTCGAACCACTGCCTTATTGAATGAAGGAATGATGTCTGAATGACCTAATGAAAATGATGCAAATGAAATGCAAATCCTAAGCCAGTTAAAAAGTGAAGAGGGTAGTGTTGTACCCCAAAATTTGCCCTCCCATATCCTTCAAGATTTGCAAAAAAAAGCATGCTTCAAAATATCCCAAGGGTTGCACAGTTCAAGGGCCTCCTAACAGTCAAAAATTAGGGTTTTGGTTCTGGCAGAGAAATTGAAGTTTTCAAAGGTCCAATCAAGTCCCACATGCCTATAAACATTGTCAAGCATCCTCATGTCAAGTTTCAAGACTCACAGCGTAAAATTGCACAGTCAAAAACCCTAATTGCTCAACAGTCAACTGCAGGGGCAAAATGGTCATTTGACAGTCAAAAGTCAAAATTTTTGGTCAACATCTTATTTTGAAGCTACAAACATCATTTGATCAATTCTTGATCATGATTCTCAAGGCATGGCTCAAAAAGTCTCAAGATGCAAAAGTTTCTATTTTTGGACAGTTGAAAAAGTCAACTGTAACTTGACCAAGGCATAACTTCCACATGGTTTATCAGATAAATTCCATCCAAAGCTCATTTTGAAGAGAAAGACATTTCCTACAACTCCTCTTCACACTACAAGTCCAAGAAATGCTCTCAAAAAAAGTTATCAATCTCAACATTATAGGTCATTTTCAAAAGTCAACAAAAAGGCACTTTAAGTCAAAGACCATAACTTGAGATTGGTAAATCAAAATGACATGGGACCAAAGGAATTGGTTAGAGTACTTCAAGACCTTTCCAAAATGTCCTAGAACATGATCAAAGCTTAAATATTGAGCAAGATATGCCTTGTGGAAGTTGGGAAAGTTTTGGGAATTTTGAAAAGTCAACTTTGCTTCAAATGCCTCAAAATTGCTAATGGGCCACATTTTCTTCCAAGAATCATCACCCAAAAGCTATGCACGACCCATTGACCCAAAGGGGAGTTATTTCATCATTTTTTATTATTTATTTGAATTTTTATCACCATTAATTCATTTAATTAAATAAAATATGAAAAAAATAGCAAAGCATGTGTTTTAAATCTTTTTGCAGCATATTCTCTCATTTACTCACTCAAGATTTAGTGCACACCCCAAAAAGGCAAGAATCTCCATTGATTGGCATGAGAAAGGTATGAAAAAGATTGAAAAAATCATGGAAGATCACAAAATTCAAAGGGCATTAAAACTTGGATGTTGGGCTTGTTTTGTTGACCTAAAACATTCCCATACATAAACACAATGCAAACCTAATCAAAAAAACCAAGAAGCTGCGCTCAGAATCACAAACAAACTTTGCATTTTTCACTAAAAATTTCAAAACTGTAAACTGTATTGCAGGGTGTTTCAAGGCAAAAGAACGATCCCACAAGCTGGCTAAGGTTACCAGGGATCTATTCCAATCAAAACCACAGCCTCTAACCTCAAGAATCGGTATAATGAAGCCGCCCTGTTCTTGATATATTTCATATTCGTATTTGAATTTATACATATTTTTCATGCATTTTAATGTTTGATCTATACAAATGTGATGATTCTAAAGCTAATGGTGTGATTCAATTGGAGAATGGTTGTCTGAATAGAAAGTTACCATGAATGTCTTTTAGGGTTTCAGGAACTCTAAAAGGGGGTTTCTCTCATAAGGAAAAATTAGGCAACGAGACCAAGACTATTGAACTCAGGGCATCTGGACGATTCAATCCCACTAGTCGCGTCCTTTTTATGTTTGCGTATGGCCTAATCGTTATTCTTGCAGGTTGAAGTTAGTGGGGGTTTAAAACCCCCGCTATCCATTATATATTTCTCAGGCAAAAACGAACCAACAAAGAAGAAGGCTGGTTGTCATCATGTGATTGGCCCATTCAAACCTTTCGCGCGTATTTTCGTTTTCCACCACTAACTCTTATTTCTCTTTCATAATAATTCCTTCCCATTGAATATCAAACGAACGCATTTGGCTGGGTGGAAAGTGAGGTGTCCTTCAAGCATTGGGACCTGGGTTCGATTCCCAGGTCCCCCATATTTCTCAATATATTTTGTTTTAACATGATTCCATGCAGTACATGCCCCAGGGCCTACCATGCAGCTTCATGTTTGTGCTTGCCACGCGCCCAACAAGACCAATCCAATGGTCAGAAGTTGCAGATCACCATGTGCACCAGTCAACACCTCCACATACGCGCCAGAAAGGTCAACCAGGCCTGATTCAGTGGGCCAAAATTGCTTTGAAAATACCTCCAAAAGGGACAACCACCCCCCATGTTTGCTTTTCTTTTCTCTATTTTTATTCTTTTCTATTATTTATTTTAATTATATTATTTGTTTTGTTTAATCCCAAATTAATTTTTTTTAATAATATAAAAATACAAAAAAATCATAAAGTCAAAAAATAAAAATATATTTTAT